ATATGTAAAGCATGCCTGGAGATGATATTATCAGGACATCTAATATACGGTCATCTGCATGCTTTGAGAGAAAGACAGGTAATAAAAACCACTGTACACTAGCCAACAATCTTGGCACTGAATCTTGAGCAGAAAGCTTGAGCTCTCTCACCAAATTGGAGCAAAACCCACAATGAATTTCTTCAATGAAATTCCAATTGAAAACTCTTGCCAACTTGTTTCGCATTTTTATAATGAATGGAAAGCAAACCTGCCATGAAACAGCTTTGCACAAAGCTCGGCCTGCCAAACAAGTGCCAATCACACAAAATACAGCTGCTATATATTGAATATATGAACAGTCCTGAGTATATAAACCTCATTTGTACATTGTTTACCTGTAAAAAACAATCCAATTGTGGTACTGCACTGTAAACCATGATTTTTACCCCCCCCCCCCCCAAAAAAAAAAAAAAACAGTAGCAGCAGACCACAGGAAAGTTCAGACAGAAAGCTCACTATCCTGACCGCAGTGAGAAAGCGAGCATGTGACGGAGTGAGATGCATGGAGGAGTCATTAAAGTGTTAGACATGAAAGGAGATGAAAAAATATGAGTGTTTGTGGAGTTAGTTCGGATGGAGACGTTCACAGTGCATGGAACAGCAGACAGACAATACCTTCCCTCAAAGAACACGAATAGACAAACAAACAACCTTAGCATTTCAGATTAGCATTAAGATGCTGACTGAGTTGCGACCAAATATGCTTGTTGTGATACCCAAAATCACAAATAGTCAAATTTAGCTGGTTAAATCCAACAAATCAGAATCCAAAACATGCAGTGAAGAGTTAACAACCCTGCTGAAATGACTAGCATGTAGTATCTAATATTTCCAGGCTGGTTTGTAGCTGATCAATCAGTCTACACTCTTTAAAATAAAGGTTCTTTATTTGCCTCTATGATTCCATGAAGAGCCTTTAACCTTTCCATTCCAGAAAAGGTTCTTTATAATGGAAAAAGTTTACCAGTATGTAAAAAATAAAGAACCATCATAAAGAATCATTCTTATTAAAAGGACCATGTTTTTCTTAGTGTGAATAACATTTTAATCTAAAGAACCCTTTTGCACTATAAGAAACCTTTTTGTGCAATGGAAAGTTTCCATGGATGTTAAAGGTTCTTCATGGAACCATCAATGCCAAGAGTAGACCAATTCTGGTTCCCCAAAGAACCTTTCAGTGAACATTTCTAATACATAAAAGACCATTTTTAAGAGAATACATGGCATTGCTGTGAAAATTTCCTTAGCTGGTAAAGGCTTGAGACTGGCTGAAAGTAACAAAAAAAAAAAAAAAAAAACCTATTGCTGGATACACTACTCAAGAAGCCCAATATGCTGGTCTTTTCAGCAGAAATGTCAGGATCTGTTAGCTGATCAACAGAACACTCACTTGCGTAAGGAGAGTTGGCGGCGGATCCGTTGAGGAAACTCGGGGATCCAGGGACGCCCAGGTTGGTCATCCCGGCGGCTCCGTATCCGTTCATGGTGGAGGTGATGGTGTTGTAGTTGGACTGCTGGGGTGTGGAGCTCGGCACGTACCCGCGAGGAGACACGCTGTTTGAGTTACGAGAGTAAACTGGAAAATAAGACATGGCGACAGGTTAAGGAGGACGCTCTTGTAGATTGAAGTTCAAATATAAACCATGTCAGCACTGGGATTTATTATGAGTTCGCTTATTAAGACGCTTGATGTGATTTGTAGATGTTGCGGTTGGACTAATGTGTGTCTGTGACATGCTGGGTTTGTGTTTCTAGTGGGTGGGATCCCTTGGTAAGTGTGAGAACATTTTAAAGATTTCCGGCTGCTGTTAAGAAAGCACTCAGTACAGCAATCAGACAAAACTTTGTCTATGTTCCCATAAGCAGTGTGTGTGTTGGGGGTTTTGGACTCTTTTCACATGGCAGACAATATGACAAACAGGTCCTGGACCATACTGAGAAACATGGCTATCACAGAGCCAGTAAGTAACAAAACCTAGCAACCACCAAAAACACCCCAGCAATAACCCTGCACAACATTGGCCTGCTAGTCATCACAACATACATGCAAGCATTGTGGTAAGTTTTGAACAGACATTTCTTAAGGAAACATCATATTCTTGATTTCTTTTTCCTTTTTTTCCCTGTACTATTCACAGTCAGCCAAAACTAAACAGGAAGTGAAGAGAGACAGAGAGCTTTGAATACCATTTGGCATCCATCTATGTCCACACTCTAGCCCTTAAGCCTAATTCTCATATCAAACAGTTGAGAAAGAAAGTGAGAGAGAGTATCAGGAAGAAGAGAAAATATTGATTTAAGAAAAAAAAAGAAATATATAAAAATAAAAATGCACTGCAAAAATTCATTTAAGCATTAATCTAAATTTCTGAAGTCATATTATTTTAATACAAGATATTGATCCAAACTGTAATTTTTTTTTAAATATATAACACAAAAAAAATAGCAAATTTATCTGGTTTTAAATATGTCTAACTAGAAAACAAGAAACAAAGCAGATTATGAAAAAAACTATTGCTAACTGACAAATCAACATCCTTTTAACATGTCAGAGTCACATGAGCAGCAACATGACTGCCATTATAAGCTGCAAATATAATTCGTTAGCAGAGTCGATGCTGGTTAATCTGAGACCTTCCCTAAATAAACTGTGCTCCTATGTGGTTTAATAAGCTGCAGGAAAGAGTTGGTGTTTTCTGTAAATCAGTTTGTAACTTAATTAGAACTTGAAACAATAATTAGTTTGATGGATGAACGAGTGGAGCAGCAGGCTGACCGGGAGCAGCATGCTATCTGTATTAAATCCTGCTGAAGTTTCACTGCATACAAGCATGAAGTATGAAATGCAATATTTTTATAATGGCTAACGGCCCTTTCCCATGACCTCATGGATTCCTGTAGGTGTTCCTTTCCTGCGTGAATGAGGAAAACAGACGAGAGGAAAACGGGATGAGTGCTAGCAGGAGAGAAAGCAGAGGGTGTCAAGGGAGAGAGAGCTCCTCTGTCATCCTGTGTCTCTCTCTCTCTGATATAAGGAGAGTGATCTGTTCATCTCACATCCATTCCCACTTCCTGTCTGTGAGTGTCAGAGCTGGTGGGTGAAGAGAAACATGGCCCGACACTGCGATATTGAAAACACACTTGTGCATGGAAATGCTCACACACAGGGTATGAAACACACATATTCAAGTCCAAAGGAAATGGCAATTCTGTTTAGTGACGCTAACGATGTGGAAATTACATAATTAAGACATTTCAAGCAACTTTTTTACAGATTTTAGCTGCATTTTAAGCAACATTAAGAATACAAGGTGTACATTTTATCCTTCTATGTGGAATCAATCAGCTTTAGCAGTCAGCTCATGTTATCATTGTCATATTATTACAATTTAAAATAACATTTTCTATTGGAATATATTTTAAAATGTAATTTAGTACTGTGATGGCAAAGTTATGTGCTGTGCTTATAAACTGTGTTTGAATTTGCAAATTGAGTGTTTCATTCTTGTAGCGCTATCATCCTGAGTCTCTCAGCTCGTTCACAGCCTGTGCCGCTCACACTTCTCGCAGGAGTGACAGGGAAAGTGTACACACACAGACTCACTCTGATGAACGTGTCGTTTCTATGGGCAGGTGAGTGTGAGTGGCAGTTTTGAGTGCTGTGGGTGACAGGCTTGCCAAAACACAGCCATGCAATCACCTTGTACAGTGCTGCTGGTCCAGGGCTGCGGGTGGGTGTGAAGCTCACCAAACGACACATGAACAGACCCAGACAAGGACTGACAGACCGTGTGACTGAATTTAAGTGTTGAGGTTTTCAAGCAGCTTTGACTTTCGTGAAGTCATGTCTCAATCAAACCCAGTCAAACACTTTCTAGGGCTGTCAACGCAACACATTAGTGTGATTAGTTCAAAAGAAAATAGTGTGATAAAAATATTAACACAATTAATCGTGCCCCTTGATCTGTATGTAAATGAAGTTCCGCCTTTAATCGAGTTTTGATTGTAAAATTGTTTGCTGTGAACTTTAAGCCAGTGATAAGCTTCATGTTCAATGATATAAAACAAACAATATACTGACTTCTAAATATTGATATATGCGATTCATTTTTTTTTTAATTGCTCGACAGCCATACATGCAAGCACACACTGACCTTGATCTCCCTGTGAGGCCTCAGAGATGTTGACGGCGAGCTGGCTGCTGAAAGAGTTAACTCCCATCATGCCTGAGTGAGCGCTGGAGCCTGTCAGTGAGGGCAACTGGTTATGGCTCCGCGGCACGCTGTACAGCACCTCCGTCAGGTCTGCAGCACGCTTTAAAATGATCTCCTGACCAATCCAGAGAGAGAGAGAGAGAGAGAGAGAGAGAGAGAGCGGTGTTGAAATGATACACAGTGGTTCTCAATGGGTTCTGATTCAAGATATTACATTACATGAAAGAAAACAATAATATGTTTAAATAAATTAAATTAATAATAGAATTAATTATTATTTATTAATCCAAGGATATTTTAGCATTATATATAGTTGAAGAATTATTTTTGATGACTATTATAATCTTATTTAAATTATAATAATTATAAAATAAAACTATTTTATTTACCTTATATAAATATGAAGTTATTTAAAAATATAAGTTGTTAAAAATTGAATGTTCTTATTATGTTACATTATTCTAATTTTATTTACATTATAGTAGTTACAAAATATTTAAATATTATTGATTGTGCATCAATAATAAATAGTATTATTGATGTTAAGTATTGATTGATTGTGTGCGTGTGTGTGTGTGTGTGTGTGTGTGTGTGTGTGTGTTCTGGTATATATGGTTTATGAGGACACAAATGTGCATAATGACATGGGTACTATGACATTTATGAAGATACTTACTGAAACCAAAAGGGTTTAAAAAAACATACTAAATGGTGTTTTTTGAAATTCAAAAACTGCCAGTAGTTTCTTGTGAGGGGTAGGTTTAGGTGTAGGGCGATAGGTATATATATATTAAACATATGCAAGAATGTGTGTGTGTGTGTATACTGTATACTGAATATATATATATATATAATGAAAGAAACTTGAACATTATCAGCTGGCTATATAAAATCATCAACTTCATTTGTAGTGATTTTCATACCTGATTGTTATGAGGCATTCCATACAGTGCCTCCACCAGATCTGCGGCTCTTTTCAGAAGAACCTCCTAATAACAGACACACACAAACACAGTTTAGTCCAACACTCCACCTCTGGTACCGTAAATCCACATGGTTTGCATCTCAAACAGCACAGCACATTCGTGAAAAGCAAGTGGCGCACCATAAAACAGCATCATTATATTCAATTATTAAATCAAATTCATTATGTTTTAAATTTAACCAAAGTTGCTTACTATATATAAGCAAGCCATGTTCAAAAACGAGAAACCAAATGTGATGAGGTGGATAGAAAAAGAAGCTGTCGGAATCTCATTTACACCAACCTGTCACACACACACAAAACCACACAGCACACACACTCAACCTTTGCCAAATCACAGAAGCAGTGATCCAGGGCTGCGATCCTTTCAGACTGTACACATATGCTCCAATGTCATTCTTCACACGGCGTGTGTGACTGTGTGTTTGTGCGTGTTATCCTGTAGTGTTCCTGTGTAAGTCACACTTCTCCATTGGCCCACAGACTCTCACTCTGGTCTTACTAAGAGTACCGAAACTAAGACAGGACATAAGCATCTTTCAATGGCTTCTTGTGCATACTTGTTTTCCATCTGCTACATCTGTACTGAATTAAAGTCTAATTTTTTTACATTTTATCTCCTGTGTTCACACCCGCGGCACCTCTTTTCCACTTCATATGGAAGCATCAAATCATCACTCTTGCCCAACACTTTGTTTCCATCTATTTAACTTTTTACAATAATTTCTGTCATTTCTACTCAATGTTTTTATGAGCGCATCAGTACACATTATTGTAAAGAAATAATGAATATATACATGTCTTGTCCCACTGATCCTTAAAAGAATTATTCTAATATGCTGATTTGGTGCTCAGAAAAAAAATATTATCACAGTTGTGCTACTTAATATATTTGTGAAAACTGTAATACTTTTTTTCAGTAATTTTTTAATGCATAGAAATGTTAAAATAACAGCATTTATTTTCATTTATAATAACTACATTTATATTGTTGCAAAAGATGTCTGTCACTTTTGATCAATTTAATCATAAAAAACTTGCTGACTTGAATTCAATAAAATATAAATAAACAGAAAATTGAAATTAAAAGTGACCACAGCTGTGAATAATGAGTTAATTTTCAAACCGTTTCTTTCACAAAGGAACCATTTTCAGACATTTTTTTTTAATATAGCACATATGGACCATGATGCTTTATTGTGTGTTTTTCTGCTTTTGAAGCTTGAGAGACTCTGGTCACCATCTACTTTCATTGTAAAGAAGAGAGCCGCTCAAACATTCTGCTAAACATCTCGTTTTGTGTCCCACAGAAGAAAAAGAATGTCATAAAGGTTTAAAATGACAAGCCTAGTACACACTGTAGATAAATGTAGATTTGTATGATCAGGCTGAAGAGGAGGATTGTTCTCTCTCTCTCTCTCTCTCTCTCTCACACACACACACACACACACACAATGTTCAGAGACAGACAGAGAGGTGTGGAGGTGATACAGAGGAAGCCAGAGCTGGTATTATGGCAACCTCTACTGGAGCTCCCTGGGGTATTACACTGAAACCCCCACACACACACACTTCACATTACTGTATGAGGAGAGAACGGAAAACAAAGAGAGAGACAGATGAAAGTATAGAGTAAACACAGAAAAAGAGAGTAAAGATTGACCCAAAGAACTACAGATGCAGTTCATGAAATCAGGATAAAATGGCAGAAAGAAAAAAAACAGGTTGGCAGAGAGCAGGACAAAAAAAGGAAACGGCAGAGTAATTGTAAATCTCATGACGAGAGGTGAAAGTGACAGATGCAGACAGAAAACAGTGCTGAAAGATGAGCAAAGGGGGAAAGGGCTGGAAGAAAACAAAGGAAAAAAGACTCGAGGGACGGAGAGAAGACAGAAGAAGACAAAGTGAGGGAAATGTGCACAAATAAAGTAGAAACGAGTGAGTGAGTGAGTGAGTGAGTATGTTAGGAGGAGAGAGAGAAAGAAAGAGAGAGGGGGAGAGAGAGAAGGAGGGAGATGAAGAGGGGAAGTTCTAGTTGTTTTTCTCCCTCAAGTGTTGCCAGGTAAGAGGCAGCTGGGGTTGCTGGCAAACCTATCATTACTGTACTGTGAGAACAACAGCCTGTGTCTGTACACACTCAATAGAAATATTACACTAATTCTACATTATGCATGTTGAAATAAAAACTTAAATTCATGTAAATATTACTTAAGATTGTTTGTTATATTTACAACCCTCAAGTACGGACTCGATCCCAAAAAAAAAAAAAAAAAACTGGTAATATTTATTGACAAATATCAGTATATTCCAAAGGTATAAAATCAAGTAAAATACATGTAGCTTTACAATGCTGGTGTTCCCAGCATGCACCAGGGCATGAATAATTAATGAGGTTGTGTATTTACTGTTTATACTGTTTGGCAGTTTTATTTACACTAGTGTTAATGTTGAAATCTTATTTTTTTTACGTTTAGTAACTTATTATATATAAATAGCATAAAAAACATTTTAAACTAAATAAGACATGCAAATAATAACAATTTTAAGTAAGAAAATAAATAAAATCTTAAAGTAAATCTCACTTTTCAGTGTATTGTTGTTCATTTTAGCTACAGACTTCCCCCAAAAAAGTGTGAAAAATAATATTAAACTAAATACAACATAGTTTAAATAAGTAAATAAATTTAAGTAAAAATTAAGTAAATCTTATTATTATTTTGTGCATTGTTGTTAAATCTAAACTTTTCGTAACTTTAAAATAAATCTGAACCTTTTTAGAAGTGAATAAAGAACATTAGCTCGCAAATAAGTAATAAGAAATATATTTAATTAAAAATAATTTAATATAAATTGAATAATATAAATTATAACCATATTATTAATTATATAAACTATAAACTATCATTTAAACTAACCTTAAAATAAAGCTTTAAAAATGTACTGAATAAAGATATTATTTAATCTCTTTATAAACCATTTCATCTTCTGACGTTACAAAAAAATCTGATTTTTCTAGGGCACTTTTAGACACTTTGTCCCCAAAACTGTATCTAGGCCAGAAACAAACACACACAAATGGACCTAAAATACACAAATATGCCTTAATACATGCAGAAATGTAAAACCCATGCTGGAACATTAGCTCTCGGGTTTCTCACATATGTCATGCAAACATAAGCAGGGCCTGCATCTGTGAAGTGCAGCTCTTAGTGACTGTTTTATGCCAGGCCACGAGGCCCTGAAATTGAACACTTTCTGGCTGAGTTTCTGAACACACTGTGTGGAAACTGTTACATTTACGAGGAAGAACAACAGTGGCCTTCAGATCAGGCAGAGAGGCAGAAACAGGCTCAGGAAACCACCGAATATTGTGACATTCCTTTGAATTTTAGCTTTAAGAGCTCATCTGGGACTGTGTTTGCGTGATAGTGCACAACATACATGCACGCAAGAGAGGATTGGGGGGCATATGGAGATGGGGGCACTAAGCTTCCTCATCCTCCTCATCCTCATTGACTTGCATTTCCCATGACAAAATATGACCTTAGAACTAACAGTCCTCCCCCAGCCAATCAACAACAAGCAGTAACGATCTTCACAGATGGCTCAAGTCAATGACAAACATGGGGCGAGAGAGAGAGAGAGAGAGAGAGGGAGAGACTCCCTGTTACAGCTGAGACCTTGTGCTCTGTTGTTCTTGCATTATTCAATCTAATGTATTTATTCAACCTTTACATTAGTTACAGTGTAATGAGTAGGGACTCTATTTGTAAAAAAAATTAAAAAGATATAATTAGAACAGAACACAAACAAGAGAGCACCTTGAAACCCACATAAAGCAAGACTCAGCAACTGTATCATTACTGTACATTTTCCATAATAAAGACATCTTGTGAAGTATTTACTCACTTTAATCCAGGGTTATTACAGTTAACTAAAACTAAAATTAAAACCATTAAAAAACATTTTCGTTACTAGGAGCATTTTAACTGCATTCTCATAAGCTTCATCTTGCAGTTAATACATTTTAACTCTCAGGATGTATTTTTGTTTGTTTTTTGCAAATGTGTAACATACTCAATGTCAGCTTGTATACAGTTAAAACAACAATTATGATATTATCGTAAACAATACATATCACACATCTCTAGAGGTAATTGTTTACCCTGAGTTCACATGCAAGTCCCATCTTTATTTTTGGTCCATTGGATTTTTTTATTTTTTATTTTTTATCCATTTGATTTAAAGTATCATTCGTGACAGCTGGTAGGTGATACTTAGTTTGTTCGAATTATTCATTTAAATATCTGTTAAATATTTCAGATTTAGTCACGGTTAAGTGCATTTTCATCACTGTCAGCCCTCTCTAGATATGGCACTTTGTCACATGGATGCCCAGCCAGTCGAAAAGCTTTCCAAACATGGAGGCGTCTCACTCACCCCTGCCCTGGAAGCTCTTAACACCCTGTTGGAGGAGAGAGGGGTCACATTAAGGCAAAGCTCGCTACCTTTTAAGGCTGTAGATTGCTGAAAGAAATGAATTTCTGTGCAATGAAAATCAGTTTTTCAATTCTGGGAAAAATGGATTGGATGTTAATCAACTGGGGGTCAAAATTATGGAGCAGGATGCTTCCTTTTGCCCCAGAGAGAGAGAATGAACCAAAAAGAGGAGGACAAAAACAGCATCCCTTATCTCTGCTGTAGCTCTTCCTGTGCCCTAATGAGTGCAATTCATTTTCCGCCGTTTACTCTCATTGAGCAAAGGCAGGAAACAACTCCGCTTACATGCTCTACAGTGGATGTCAATGCTACAAGGATTTTGTGGTTGTATAATAACATTGAATTTAGAATGCTGTCTCTCTGATTGCATGTTAATCTCCCAGATAGTACTCAGCTTTGCAATATTGTCTGGGTCTTTCCTACCATAGCATATTTTTTCATGTCTCCATCATGTATGTCTTAATACATTGGATAAAGATGGAAATCAAAGGAGTTAGTTTACGT